ATTAGTCTATTCAGAGATTCAACTTCTTCCTAGTTTAGTCTTGGGAGGTTTTATGTGTCCAGGAATTTATCCATTTCTTCTAAATTTTTTAGTTTATTTGTGTAGAGGTGTTTGTAGTATTCTCTGATAGTAGTTTGTATTTCTGTGGGAGCAGTGGTGATATCCCCTTTATCACTTTTTATTGTGTCTATTTGAGTCTTCTCTCTTTTCTTCTTTATTAGTCTGGCTGGCGATCTATCTATTTTGTTGATGTTTTCAGAAAAACAGCTTCTGGATTCATTGATTTTTTTGAAGGGTTTTTCATGTCTCTATCTCCTTCAGTTCTGCTCTGATCTTAGTTATTTCTTGTCTTCTGCTCACTTTTGAATTTTTTTGCTCTTGCTTCTCTCGTTCTTTTAATTGTGATATTAGGGTGTCGATTTTAGATCTTTCCTGCTTTCCCTTCTGGGCATTTAGTGCTGTAAATTTCTCTCTACACACTGCTTTAAATGTGTCCCAGAGATTCTGGTATGTTGTGTCTTTGTTCTCATTGGTTTCAAAGAACTTATTTATTTCTGCCTTCATTTCGTTATGTACCCAGTAGTCATTCAGGAGCAGGTTGTTCAGTTTCCATGTAGTTGAGTGATTTTGAGTGAGTTTCTTAACCTTGAGTTCTAATTTGATTGTACTTTACCCTGAGAGACTGTTTGTTATGATTTCCATTCTTTTGCATTTGCTGAGGAGTGTTTTACCTCCAATTATGTGGTCGATTTTAGAATAAGTGATATGTCGTGCTGAGAAGAATGTATATTCTGTTCATTTGGGGTGGAGAGTTTTGTAGGTGTCTATTAAGTCTGCTTGGTCCAGAGCCGAGTTCAAGTTCTGAATATCCTTGTTAATTTTCTGTCTCGTTGATCTGTCTAATATTGACAGTGGGGTGTTAAAGTCTCCCACTATTATTGTGTGTCTCTTTGTAGGTCTCTAAGAACTTTCTCTATGAATCTGGGTGCCCCTGTATTGGGTGCATATATATTTAGGATAGTTACTCTTCTTGTTGAATTGATTCCTTTACCAATATGTAATGTCCTTCTTTGTCTCTTTTGATCTTTGTTCGTTTAAAGTCTGTTTTATCAGAGACTAGGATGCAACCCCTGCTTTTTTTTTGCTTTCCATTTGCTTGGTAAATATTCCTCCAGCCCTTTATTTTGAGCCTACGTGTGTCTTTGCACATGAGATGGGTCTCCTGAATACAGCACACTGATGGGTCTTGACTCTTTATCCAATTTGCCAGTTTGTGTCTTTTAAGGGGAGCATTTAGCCCATTTACATTTAAGATTAATATTGTTAAGTGTGAATTTGATGCTGTCATTATGATGCTAGCTGATTCTTTTGCCTGTTAGTTGATGCAGTTTCTTCATAATGTTGATGGTCTTTATAATTTGATATGTTTTTGGAGTGGCTGGTACCGGTTGTTCCTTTCCATGTTTAGTACTTCCTTCAGGAGCTCTTGTAAGGCAGCCCTGGTGGTGACAAAGTCTCTCAGCATTTGCTTGTCTGTAAAGGATTTTATTTCTCCTTCACTTATGAAGCTTAGTTTGGCTGGATATGAAGTTCTGGGTTGAAAATTCTTTAAGAATGTTGAATATTGGCCCCCACTCTCTTCTGGCGTATAGGGTTTCTGCAGAGAGATCTGCTGTTATTCTGATGGGCTTCCCTTTGTGGGTAACCTGACCTTTCTCTCTGGCTGTCCTTAACATTTTGTCCTTCATTTCAACCTTGGTGAATCTGACGATTATGTGTCTTAAGGTTGCTCTTCTCAAGGAGTACCTTTGTGGTATTCTCTGTATTTCCTGAATTGGAATGTTGGGCTGTCTTGCTAGATTGGGGAAGTTCTCTTGGATAATATCCTGAAGAGTGTTTTCCAACCTGGTTCTATTCTCTCTATCACTTTCAGGTACACCAATCCAACGTAGATTTGGTCTTTTCACATAGTCTCATATTTCTTGGAGGCTTTGTTTGTTTATTTTCATTCTTTTTTCTCTTATCTTGTCTTCTAGCTTTATTTCATTAAGTTGATCTTCAATCTCTGATATCCTTTCTTCTGCTTGATTGATTCAGCTATTGATAGTTGTATATGCTTCACGAAGTTCTCATGCTGTGTTTTTCAGCTCCTTCAGGTCATTTATGTTCTTCTCTAAACTGATTATTCTAGTTAGCAATTCCTCTAACCTTTTTTCAAGGTTCTTACCTTCCTTGCCTTGGGTTAGAACATGCTCCTTTAGCTCGGAGGAGTTTGTTATTACCCACCTTCTGAAGCCTACTTCTGTCAGTTCATTGAACTCATTCTCCATCCAGTTTTTTTCCCTTCCTGGCAAGAAGTTGTGATCCTTTTGTGGAGAAGAGGCATTTTCGGCCTTTTTGCACTGTTTTCTCCCCATCTTCATGGGTTTATCTACCTTTGGTCTTTGATGCTGGTGACCTTCAGATGAGGTATCTGAGTGGACGTCCTTTTTGTTGATGTTGATGCTATTCCTTTCTGTTTGTTAATTTTCCTTCTGACAGTCAGGCCTCTCTGCTGCAGGTCTGCTGGAGTTTGTTGGAGGTCCACTCAAGACCCTGTTTGCCTGGGTATTCCCAGCAGAGGTTGCAGAACAGCAAAGATTCCTTCCTGTTCCTTCCTCTGGAAGCTTTGTCCCATAGGGGCACCTGCCAGATGCCAGTTAGAGCTCTCCTGTATGAGGTGTCTGTCGGCCCCGACTGGGAGGTGTCTCCCAGTCAGGATACGTGGTGGTCTGGGACACACTTGAGGAGGCATTGTGTGCCTTATCAGAACTCAAACGCTGTGCTGGGAGATCTACGGCTCTTTTCAGAGCCATCAGGCAGGGACGTTTAAGTCTGCTGAAGCTGCGCCCACAGCTGCCGCTTCTCCCAGGTGCTCTGTCCCAGGGCGATGGGAGTTTTATCTTTAAGTCCCTGGCTGAGGATGCTGCCTTTTTTTCAGAGACGTCCTGCCCAGAGAGGAGGAATCTAGAGAGGCAGTCTGGCCGGAGCAGCCTTGCTGAGCTGTGGTGGCCTCTGCTCACTTTGAACTTCCTGGTGGCCTTGTTTACACTGTAAGGGTAAAACTGCCTACTCAAGCCTCAGCAATAGTGGACGTCCCTCCCCTCACCAAGCTCGAGCATCCCAGTTTGACCTCAGACTGCTGTGCTGGCAGCGAGAATTTCAAGCCAGTGGATCTTGGCTTGCTGGGCTCCATGAGCATGGAACCTGCCAAGCCAGACTACTCGGCTCCCTGGCTTCAGCCCCCTTTCCAGGGGAATGAATGGTTTTGTCTTGCTGGTGTTCCAGGTACCACTAGGGTATGAAAAAAACACTCCTGCAGCTAGCTCGGTGTCTCCCCAAATGGCCGCCCAGTTTTGTGCTTGAAACCCAGGGCCCTGATGGTGTAGACACCGGAGGGAATCTCCTGGTCTGCGGGTTGCAAAGACCATGTGAAAAGCTCAGTATCTGGGCCGGAGTGCACCGTTCCTCACAGCACAGTCCTTCACGGCTTCCCTTGGCTAGGGGAGGGAAATCCCCCAACCCCTTGCACTTCCCTGGTAAGGTGATGCCCCACCCTGCTTCGGCTCACCCTACATGGGCTGCACCCACTGTCCAACCAATCTCAATGAGATGAACCGGGTACCTCAGTTGGAAATGCAGAAATCACCCCCTTCTGCATCGATCTCGCTGATAGCTGCAGACTGGAACTGCTCCTATTCGGCCATCTTGCCAGCAAATCCCACGGTACCTGATTTGCACACAACATTCAATAAAGAGTAGTCATTGTTATTAGTATGGCCACACTGAGAAACATTAAACTTCATTTAATTAATGACAGGGATTTTTATTGTTAATGAATTGTCGATAATTCCTTGGTAATCTTTTGGACTTTATCTGTTTACATCCCAGCATCCCAAAGAAAGATTGGTCTCCTTGAAGTCAGCAGTTTTGTCTTATTAATCACTGTGTCCTTTGACCCGGCTTAATGCCAGGACTACTCAGTAAAATGCCAGTTAACTCAGTAAGCATTAGTGAAACGTATAAGTTAGAAAAATAAAAGATGTTTTTAGGAAGTTTGAATATGAAGAAAAGAAAAACATCTTGAGATATAATAAGTTTGAGAGAAAGATTTTGGAAAGAAGAAGCCTTGAGCATTGTCATAGACTGATGGAGAATTGGGGAAGAGGCAAAGATTGAAGGCAGAAAAGAGGACAGAGTTGATGAAGCAGAGCCAACAAGGGAGGGGACAGGGTCACGGGAGGATGGGACCAATGGCACAGGTAAAGAATGAGATTAGGTCTCAAGAGATTCCCTCTTTCCCTGAAAAGAAGAGCAAAGAGAAAGGTGCAAATGCAGTTTAACTTTGAAGTTAAGGAAGAAAAATCCAGGGGGCTTCTATTGGATAACCTCTTACCTTCTGCTAAGGGGAAGGGATTAGAGCTGACTGAAGGGCCTGAACACAAAAGTTTTGGAACAACGTCAGGTTACATGATCGAAGTGAGTAGACCACCTAGCATCAATGAGGGCCCATACAAACCAACTGAAGCTGATCAGTTTGCCTGCTTGCATTTTTGTATATTTGTCCATTTATGCATTAACTAACTTTTAAAAATAAATATCAGCTGCATAGATTTGCTGGTGTATTTGTCTTAACTTCTCTTGGAAAAACAGCTGCTGTATAGTCAGTATGTGTTGCGGATTTGGAGTCATGTCGCACACTATCTCTGCAGAGGTTCTTTTCTGTTTAAATATTGGTGGTCCGCTAACACCATAAGTATGGTTTACAGTAATCGGCCTTTGTTTTTAAGCGCTGTCTTTTTCCATTATCATTAACCTGAATTTCCTATGCATGAACATTATCAGCATGATAAGGTGGAACTGCTTTATGGCATGCATTTAAGTAATCTTTAAGTCTGATCTGAAATAAAATGTGCTAGAACTACTGAGTTTTTTTTGTTTGTTTGTTTGTTTTTCCCTAGAGTTGGACAAGTTATAACCATCAGAGCAAAAGTTACTAGAGCATTCAGCACAAGCATGGAGGTAAGAGGCACCTTTTCAAACGGCTGCCTGTTGGTGCTCATTTCTTCATTGTTTACAAAGGGTAGAGCAGGAGGCCTAGACTAATATTTGGAGTTAATGAGATTCTCTATTTCACAAGGCTCTGGAATGTGTAGTCAGGTCACAGGTAAATAATAGGCAGTGGATGTTTCCAGTGTTTCCTAGCTAAAATTCAACATGGCCAGGCATGGTGGCTCACACCTATAATCCCAGCAATTTGGGAGGCTGAGGCAGGAGGGTCACTTGAGGCCAGGAATTCGAGACCAGCCTGGGCAACATAGCAAGACCCAATCTTTAAGAAGAAAAAAAAAAATTAGGCAGCACAGTGGTAAGTGCCTGTAGCCCTGGCTACTCGGGAGGCGGAGGTGGGAGGATTGCTTGAGCCCAGGAGTTTGAGGCTACGGTGAGCTATGATTGTACCACTGCATTCCAGCCTGGGTGACATAGCAAGACTTTGTCTCTTAAAAAAAAAAAAATTCACATTTCAACATGATACAATACAGTATTTCTACATAGAAGGATATACAGAAAATAAACCTGCAAGAGAAAAGGACACTCTTAATTCTTCATAAAGTATAGATTTTATTTCTTAATCATGCTGACTCCACTATTATTCTATTTGTTCTCCATCCCCTCACCCTCTGACAGAAACTAGTCCCATGATTAAGTAGTTTTTGAAAAGCAGGATAACTGGACTTTAGTAAGAAGGTAAATTTAGAAGATTTTTTTTCTGCATCCACTTGGTTTTCTTTTCTCTACCATTGTGAATACCGGATTCTCGGGGGCTCTTGAGATCTCTATTCAGGTTAAATTAGGAGGAAAGGCATTGCTGGATCTCATATTGCACCTTCCAGCTTGCTCAGGAGCCATCCTTCGATCTCTGGGCATGAAGACATGGAAGAGCTTGTATTCGTTTGCTAGGGCTGCCGTAACAAAGCACCACAGACCGGGTGGCCTAAACACAGAAGAGTATTGTCCCATGGTTCTGGGAGCTAGAAGTCCTACATCAAGATATGGGCAGGGCTGGTTTCTCTGAGGGCTGGAGGGATAATCTGTTCATGCCGCTTTCCTATTCTCCCATGGCTCTCTGTAGTCCTTGGTATTTCCTGGCTTCTGCTGCATCACCCGATCTCTGCCTTCATCTTCACATGTGTTCTCCTTATGTGGGTGTCTGCTTCCAAATTTCCCATTTTTATAAAGATATCAGTGATATTGGATTAGGGGCCTGCCCCACCGCAGTCTGGCCTCATCTTAACTAATTACATCTGCAACAGCACTATTTCCACGTTTACATTCAAAGGTATTGGGGATTAGGACATAAGAATTTGGAAGGGGGAACACAGTTCAACTGTAACAACTGTTTTGACAGTAACCATGCCCTTGGTGATGGCTTTACCCTGATGTGGTCACCTCTTTTTTTAATTTTTGTTTTTGTTTTTGTTTTTGAGATAGAGTCTCACTCTGTTGCCAGGCTGGAGTGCAATGGCAAGATCTCGGCTCACTGCAACCTCCGCCTCCCGGGTTCAAGCAATTCTCCTGCCTCAGCCTCCCAAGTAGGTGGGATTACAGGCGCCCGCCACCACTAATTTTTGTATTTTTAGTAGAGACGGGGTTTCACCATGTTGGCCAGGAGGGTCTCGATCTGACCTTGTGAACTGCCCGCCTCGGCCTCCCAAAGTGCTAGGATCGATCACAGGCATGAGCCACTGTGCCCGGCTGATATGGTCACTTTCTAGCAGTATCCAAATAAACAGAATACAAAGCACTTGAAGAAAGCAGAAAGGAAATGCTTGTGAAAGAAACAAACTCTGTCAGTGAATGGTGTTTCTGGACGCTGTTTATTCAACTGCAGAGCTCTTAGCCTTTGCACACAGGAGCCTCTGGGCTTGGCCTGTCTCCTGAGGGCCACACATTCTCCTGATAGACAGTCCAAATATAGATAAAAGCTCCTTTTCATTTCTCCTTTTCCTCCTCTTCCTGAGACAGGCTAGAATTTCTAAAGGAGGCTTATCTAAAAGCTAAGAAAAGAAAAATAAAACCCAGTGAGTTTGAAATCACAGATTTCTGATGCTAGGGAAAGTAAACCCTAGCCTCCACTGACTTTCTAGGCCCGATCTGCCATGCAGAATTTTGTTCTCTTTCATCCTCTGCAGATCATGACCAGGGAGCCTCTAGATTTTGTCGTACTTTCTACCACCTGGTAGAAATTTCTTGGATTTTTTTTTTCCCTAACTCTAGATGCCAACTAAACCTTTTTATTTTTACTTTTTCAAACTGGAAATGTCCTTTATGGTCATCCTGTTTAATTTCAGTTTCCTGCCACAACTGAGGCCAGCCCTCTGCTAATTTGTTGAGCAGAAATAAATGACTGGCTTCCCCCTGAATCCACAGCAAGCAGGAGCTCTGCTCTGTGCCAAACCCACTTCCAGGGGATTCTCAGACTCTATTGATCAGTCTCTTCCCTTTTCCCCGCTCTGGAAGGTGTGCGATGCATTACTATTAATAGATTATATTGTCCCATTTGCACTAAGAGCACATTATATGAGAGGGGTTTTTTTGGTCCTTAGAACATGTCTTTAAAAATCAGTTTTATTGAGATATAATTTACAACATTAAAATTCTCCCATTTTAATTATACATTTTGCTGAGCTTTGACAAAGTCATACAGTTGGATCACCACCACTATAATATACAACGTTCCCATCACTACACGAAGCCCCCTATGCCCCTTTGCAATCAGCTCCCTCAGGTCCCAGCTTGTGACAACCACTCATTTACTTTAGGTCGGTATCCTTTTTTTTGCCCTTTACTATATTTTGTATAAATGGAATGATATAGTATATATAACCATTTGTGTCTAGTTTATTTTACTTAGCATAATGTATTTGATTTCTGCTACTGGTTATTATATTATTCTCATTCTATTAATTTTGGGTTTAATTTGCCTTTCTTTTTCTAGTGTCTTAAGGTAGAATCTTGGGAAATTGATTGAACTTTTCTTTTTTTCAAATATAAGCATTTAAAATCATAACATTTTCCTCAATGTATTGCCTTACGTGCATCAAAGTATGTCCTTTTTTTCTTGTAAATTCTTCCCTGACCTCTAGTCTGTCTAGATATGTGTTGTTTAATTTCCAAATCTCTGATGATTTTTCCAGACATATCTTTGTTTTTGATTTCTAATTGAATTCTTTTGCAGAGAGAGAACATAATTTTTATAATTTCAATTATTTTAAATTTGTTTAGACTTTTTTAATGACCCAAAATATGGACTATTATGGTGAATGTGCTATATGTACTTGAAAAGAATGTGTTGCTTATAGTCAATGAAGTATTCTGCAGATGTCAGTTAGCCTAAATTGTTTCATAGCATTGTTCAAGTCTTCTGTATTATTATTATTATTGTTATCATTATTATTATTATTTTGAGATGGAGTCTTGAACTGTCTCCCAGGCTGGAGTGCAGTGGTGCGATCGTGGCTCCCTGCAGCTTCCGTCACCCGGGTTCAAGTGATTTTTTTGCCTCAGCCTCCCGAATAGCTGGGATTACAGGTGTGCACCACCACACCCAGCTAATTTTTGTATTTTTAGTAGAGACGGGGTTTCACCATGTTGGCCAGGCTAGTCTTGAACTCCTGACCTCAGGTGATCCATTCACCTCAGCCTCCCAAAGTGCTGGGATAACAGGTGTGAGCCACCGTGCCCTGCCAGGATTCTTAACTCTTCCTGATGTTGTGACCCTTTTATCATTATGAAGTATACCTTTTTATCTCTGGTTTTTGTTTTGAAATCTACTCTGTCTGATATTAATTTAGCCGGACAAGCTTTCTTTGGATTAGTGTTTTTCCCCCATCATTTTTCTTTTAACCTGTCTTATTTGTATATCTAAGTGGGTTTCTTATAAACAAAATATATTTGGATGCTATTTTTTTATTTATTCTAACAATCTCTGCCTTCTACCTGGAATATTTAAACTGTTTACCTTAGATTATCTATATGGCAGAGTTGAAATCTATCATCTGGCTATTTGTCTTCTATTTCTTTCATCTGTTCTTTGTTTCTTCCTGTCCCCATCTTTTCCTGCATTTTTTAGAGTGGAGTAATTTTTAGTAATCCATTTTATCTCCACTGTTGGTGTTTTCACTATACATATTTGTTTTGATTTTAGTGCTTTTTCTCAGGTTTGCAATATGAGTACTTAACTTATCTGAGACTACCTTCAAATAATACAATATCCCTTTGAGTATAGAGTAATACCCTTATAACAGTATACACACTTCCCTTCCCATGTCCCAGTCTTTGTGTTATTGTCATACCTTTTACATGCACATATGTAGGAGGTAAACCCTATAATACATAGTTATTATTTATGTTTTAAACAGTCAACCATCTTTTTAAAAGAATAAAAATGAAAATAATGTATTTTTTATATATTTATACACCCACATATTTGCCATTTCTGGTGTTCTTTATTCTTTAGTGTATTGTGTGTCTCCAGATTTCTCCCTAGTGTCATTTTCCTTCTGTCTGAAGATATTCCTTTAGCATTTTTCTTTTCAGCTTTTGTGTAAAAATGTCTTTGTTTCATCTTCGTATTTAAAAGATGTTCATATTCAGTAGGTATATAATTCTAGCCTGGCAGCAGAATTATGTAAATTATGATATGACTTGGGTTTTTTGAGCTGCTGGATCTATGGATTTATAGTTTCTAAGAAATGTGGATTTTTTTTCAGCTATTTTATCTTCAAACTTTTTTCCTGTCTTTTGTGCTCTCTCTCCTTTTGGACTTTAGAGTTTTAGACTTCTTGTTAATGTTCCACAGGTCACTGATACTGTTCTTTTTTTTTTTCTTTCAGTCTTCCTTTCTCTTCATGTTACATTCTGTGTAGCTTCTTTTGTCATCTTCAGCTTCACTGACTTTTTCCCCTGCATTAACTAAACTGCTCTTAATCTTACCTGGTTTGTTTTTTATTTCAGACATTATATATTTTTTTATCTTAGAAAGTCCCACTTTGTTTTTTATATTTTCCATTCTTTCCTTACTATTTTCATCTTTTTCTCTATGTTGGAAGTCAGCAAACTATGGTCTATAGACCTGTTTTATGAATAAAAATTTTTTGAAGCACAGCTATACCCATTCATTTATGTTTTGTCTGTGTTGCTATCACAGTACATTGGCAGAGTTGAGCAGTGGCAGTAGAGTCCATGTGACCACAAAACTTAAAACATTTACTATCTGGTCTTATCCTTTAAGAAGATGTTGCTGACTCCTGTTCCAAATCTCTGAGTTCATGGTGCCTATATTTAATTGTTGTTTTAATATCTTTTGTTGTCATTCCATCATTTCTGTTATCTGTTGTTTTATTTATATTACCTTTCACCTAATAATTTTCTTGCATCTAATAATTTTTATTCGATGCGAGCATTGTGAATTTTATATTGTTTAGTGCCGGCTTTTGTTGTATTTCTTTAAAAAGAGTGTCAGACTTTTCCTGGCAGGAAGATGTTGTTACTTGCAGATTGGTTTGAGCTTTTAAAGATCTGTTTTAAACTCTTCTATGGAAGATTTAGAATACTCTACTCTACAGCTACTTTAGACCCTCTTCTAGGTTGGGATCTTCTGTTATCTCTGTGAAGGGGTTCTATATTCAGTGAAATCTGGCTGGAGAGAACTCAAAAGATCCCCAGCTGTGTGTGACTTCTTGGAATTGTCCATGTTACAGTTTCCCAGGAATTGATTGTTCCTCAGAAGCTGTTCTTGTCTGGCCTTGTGGGGTTTCACCCTGTATATAGTCCAGTTAGTATCAACTCAAAGACTCACATCCATGTTTCTGGAATTCTTTCTTTTTTTTACCTTACTTCTCTGGTACTCTACCCCACAAATTTTAGCTCCATTCAATTTAGCAGAGTTAGGTTTTCCTTCCCTAACCTAACTATAAATCACCTTTAGCCTGAGAACCTGGGAACGCAGTGCTCCTCTCATTGTTTTTCCCGCCTTGGGGATCACAGTCCTGTGTTGCCTATTTTTGTAGGTGTGAAAATAGATGCTTCCTATATTTTGTCCAGTTTTCTAGTTGTTTTCACAGAATGTAATTCCAATCTTACCTAATCTCTTATAACACAATGAAATTCTCCCTGGCATATGTTTTTGAAACATTTGGTTATCACATATAACTAAGTTAACTGTTCTAGTAGAAGATAGTGTTTAGAACTTATTTTAACACTCCAGAATTGTTGCTTTGTTTTTACTGTTAGATATTTTATTTTATTTTTCATTTGTCCATTTCTCTAAAAGCAGAAAGCTGTATGGGATTAAGGGTTGAGAGAGTTGGGAATAGATAGTTTAATTTTGGCTAATCACCATCTAGTTAATTTAGGATTTACCATGTAAATACTAATTTGCATTTATGAGTTGAGTGACTTAAAATGAGTCCTAGATTATTGATTATTCTTTTTACATGGTGTACATGGTAAAGATACAGATACAGATATTCTTCATTGTTGGCAACACAGTGCTGAGCTGTGCCTGAGATCACTCATTATTTTCAGAAGATAATATTACTCATCTGAAACATTTGGGAAAAGGTTTATTAGCCAGAATCTAAAGACAAGTCCCGGAGTTTACCAACACTTCTGCAAAGTACAATCCTGAGGACCAAGCTTCAGAGCTCTTCACACGGGGAAATCTAGCCCATTGTAGTATCAACATAAAGTGTCTCAGCTACCTTCTTATTACTCCTGAAAAATTAATCACAGAAACAAAGCTGTAAATACATGATGCAATTCTGTCCATGTGGGCTTGGTCCTAGGAAACCCTGAGAGTATGCTGCCTAGAGACATTTTAAAAAAGAAAAAAAGCTCTGAGAGTAAAGGCTAAAAAAAGTTATGGTACATCTCTCTGGTGGTTTTATAAGGCAGTCACCAATATCTTGTTTTCAAAAGCATATTTAGTAATAATGAAGTTTAAAAGAGCTTATCATATAATGTCAAATTTTTAAAAATTGGAATAGGCCAGGTGTGATGACTCACTCCTGTAAGCCCAACACTTTGGGAGGCCAAGGTGGGCGGATCATAAGGTCAAGAGGTTGAGACCATCCTGGCCAACATGGTGAAATCTTGTCTCTACTAAAAATACAAAAAATTAGCTGGGTGTAGTGCTGCATGCCTGTAGTCCCAGCTACGACGGAGGCTGAGGCAGGAGAATGGCTTGAACCCGGGAGGCAGAGCTTGCAGTGAGCCGAGGTGGTGCCACTGCACTCCAGCCTGGCGACAGAACAAGACTCTGTCTCAAAACAAAACAAAACAAAATCAGAACATAAAACTGTAAATACATTACAATAATTTTATATACACATGCATATATGCACACATATTTCGTGTCATATGTATATATTATGAAATGTGTGTATATATTATGTAATATGATATATGTGTATTATGTGATATGTGTGTTTATGTATTATATATCATAAATATACATTTATATATCGTATATATCATATACATTTATATATCATATATGATATGTCATATATGTTTATATATCATATATGTCATATACATTTATATGTCATATGTGATATGTCATATACATTTATATGTCATATATGATATATAAATATAAAAAGCTAGAAGAAAATTCAGCTAAAATTTAATAATTATTATCTCTGGGTGATGGAATTACTGATAATATATACTCTGGATAGTCAGATTCCACAAATTTTACATGATAAATAATTTTTATAATCAGAAAAAGTTAATTGTCCAATGTTATAGAACATCATTGAAAGAATTCTATTGCTTAAAAATAAATTAAAATTCTGGTTTCATTTTTAAAATGAAAGAGAGTAATGGTGCATACATATGACTACATTTTGAATGCTGAAATCTGAACGGTTTCTGGATGGCCAATAGTGTATTTATTTATCTTTTTTTTCATTGTAGATCAGTATCAAGGTCATGGTACAGGACATGCTCACTGGCATTGAGAAGCTTGTTAGTGTGGCTTTCTCCACATTTGTAGCCAAACCAGTTGGAAAAGAAAAGGTAAATTTTGTATATGAAGATGTATCTAGCATGTAATTCAGGGACATAGTAACAATTGCATCAGAATGTTATAGAAAAAAATGACATTTCTTCTTTCCATGAGATATACTTTCCCAAGATTTGTTATTCACCAATATTTACTGTAAAAGTTATCATTCTGTGGTAACATCAGAGGAATAGGAACTTTAGAGAAAAGTACCTTAGAGAAAAGACAATATAGAAAGTTTGTAAAATACAAAAAAAAAAAAAATCCACATTGTTTTAAATGATCTGAAGGTCCTATCAGTTTCTTTAAAATACTGCCTACTGGTTTAGTGCTTTTCATTTGTGGTCATATAACTCAAAATTGAGTTAAAATAAAATCTTTTTTAAAAAAATCAAGAGCAATTTAGCAAGCAGTTGCATGTTATAGATTAACCATTGTTAATACCTGAAGGAAAATTGTCAACATTGCTCAGTTATTGAAGTTTAAAAATAAGCTTCTGGGCATGTGGGGTGAAAACACCCTCCGAAGCGATACTTTGGCCTGATGAGTGTGCCTAGCCAGCTGCCCGGCGACGACCCAGATCTACTCATCTGGAGGCTGCTGGGGATTTGCTCCTTATAATTTCTTGGCATTTTTTTTCAGTGTCAGGGTGCCTGGAGGAGGGTCCCGTTTAGTCTAAACTCTGTGATAATTCAATCTAGAATATGAGTCTTTCACTCCAAGGATCATCCCAGAGCTAGACACAGTGGCTTCTCCTAGCCCTACTCTGAAGCAAGGAGAGGTCCTTCTCAGTCTCTTTGTCTGAAGCCTTCTTCAGACTGCCTCCCACTTTAAAGCCAGACAAATGTTTCCACTGTACCCAGGAGAGGTGGTGGCAGAACCACACTCACCAGCTCCTCTTCCTTATGTGAGCCAGGAGGCATAGAGATGGGCTAGGGCTGAGTTGGACCTTCATAGTGCCAGTGGCAGGTGTCCCTGCAGAGCTTTGTACCCGGGGGCACTTCTCCCACTCTTAGTCTTTTGTTTTTGAGCAGAGTCTCACTGTCACCCAGGCTGGAGTGCAGTGGCACAATCTCAGCTCACTGCAACCTCCATCTCCCAGGTTCAAGAGAGTCACTTGCCTCAGCCTCCCAAGTAGCTGGGATTACAGGCTCCCACCACCGTGCCTGAATAATTTTTTTTTTTTTTTTTTTGTATTTTTAGTAGAGATGGGATTTCACCATGTTGGTCAGGCTGGTCTGCCCGCCTTGACCTCCCAAAGTTCTGAGGTGTGAGCCATGGCCCCTGGCCTCCACTCTCAGTTAACATTAAACACGTTGCAAGGCAAATTCATATTGCCCAAGGGTGTTGTTTTTCAAATGGAAGTTCATATCAGCTAATTCTATTTGTTAAAATGAGGTTTTCTGGGCCATATCATGGACCTACTGAATTAGAATCACTAGCGTGGAATCTTGGAATCTGTACTTTGCCAAAGCATCCCACAGAGCCTGTGTTCACTAAAATCTGAGACACTGAGATAGTCTTCCCAACCATTCTGTTTTTCCTGACATCCCCACAAATCTCCAGACTCTTGGAAATGAGAGATTATGACATGGGTGCAGGTGCCCGTATCTGAGAGCAAGTGACAAAGGAACGCACCTTGCCATCCCATTCCTTTGCATGGGGCAGCAGAGAAAGTCTGTCATTTTCCCCTTCCAGCCTCAGACTTCTCACTCCAACTTCATGGATGTGTGGAATAAGAATATAATAGTTGGCCGAGCATGGTAGCTCATGCCTGTAATCCCAGCACTTTGGGAGGCCGAGGCGGGTGGATCACCTAAGGTCAGGAGTTCAAGACCAGCCTGGCCAACATGCAGAACCCCCCCCGCCCCTGCCGCCCTACTAAAAATACAAACATTAACTGGGTATGGTGGTGCATGCCTATAATTCCAGCTACTTGGGAGGCTGAGGCAGGAGAATCACTAGAACCCAGGAGGCAGAGGTTGCGGTGAGCCGAGATTGCGCCATTGCACTTCAGCCTGGGCAGCAAGTGCAAAACTCCGTCCCAAAAAAGAAAAAAAGAATAGAATAGTAACACTTCAGTCCAATCTCTCTTGAGACTGGAGAACTGGTTTCTGAAAGTGGAAAGTCAGATCCATTATGGTGCTAGCATAATTGGTTGGTTCAGATAACCTTAATTGTAAAGCACCTTTCCAGACTAACTTATTTCCTAGTTGCTAATATGCTGGTTCAGTAGCTCATCACAAAGAGATCCATGAAAAATCAGTGGTTTGGTTTGAACCCATAGGACTACCTGAATCACTGTTCACAGTGAGTTTATTTTAGGATGAAATTGGTTCAAAGCATAATGTAGGCTGATTAAAAAACAAAAAAGAAATTGGCAATGATTAACCAGACTTAGTTCAACAATTGCACAGGCCAGATCATTGAAGGGACGTGCAAGACTCCACAGGGTACACTCATGCAAAGCCTTACTAAGCTAAAGCAGACGGTGCGGCGGGAGAAAGCAAGCACAGGCCAGCCTCAGAGAGGGCCGAGGCCTCCAGGCACAGCCATGCCTCAGGGGCCTTAGTCACACAAGATGTACTTCTGTGGAATAGGAATCACCAAAACATACGCAAGGTATCTTGGTTTCAGGAGAACCAACACACAAGTTTACCAAGCAGTCTTGTATACCCTGCTAGTCACACAACTGAAACAACACTACAAAAATTGTTAAATCAGGCTGGGTGCAGTGTCTCACACTTATAATTACAGTGCTTTGGGAGGCTGAGAAGGAAAGATTGCTTGAGGCCAGGAGTTTGAGACCAGCCTGGGCAACATAGTGAGCCCTCATCTCTACAAAAAATAAAAATAAAAATAAGTTAGACAGGCATAGTGACGCTTGCCTGCAGTCCTACTGGGAGGATCCCTTGAGCCAGGATTTTGAGGTTACAGGAAGCTATGATTACACCACTGTGCTCCAGATTACACACTGTACAACAGAGTTTCAAAAAAAAAAAAAAAAGGAGTTAAACCAGTGCATGCCATCAATCTACACACTCCTAACCAAACTCCACAAGGTAGTCCAGGGGAGTTTTGGACTTTAAGCAGCATATTATAAATCACCAGCTTATTTTTTTTTCTTTTTTTTTTTTGAGATGGAGCCTCACTCTGTCTCCCAGGCTGGAGTGCACTGGCATGATCTTGGCTCACTGCAACCTCCTTTTCCTGGGTTCAAGCGATTCTTGTGCCTCAGCCTCCTAAGTAACTGGGATTACAGATGCGTTCCACCATACCCTGTTACTTTTTGTATTTTTAGTAGAGACAGTGTTTCACCATGTTGTCCAGGTGCAGTGGCTCACACCTATAATCTTGAACACCTGACCTCAAGTGACTTGCCCGCCTCAGCCCCCGCAAAGTGCTGGGATTACAGGTGTGAACCCCCACACCCAGGGATCACTAGCTTATTTCATCCTTATCTTGGTCAAGGGTCAGTACCAGACTTTGAGTATCTTGGAAATAAGCATGGAGCTACCCCAGTCCAGCTTCAAGGTGACCCTTCCTTCTACACACAGGGTCAGCAGAGGACATTTATGTAAGAATTTGAGCTCTTGGTTCTGTTGCCTCATATTTCCAGGTTTCTGGAGGTTGGTGAAAGCTTTATTCCCACATATTGATTCTTTTGTTTTGCTTGTTAGATAATGTTTTCACCATGTAATGAAATTTCCAAATTGGGAATACCTCATGGTATAAGATAGCTTTCTCTAGAACATCTTTATTCCCTCTCTTTGCTTTCTTAATTTTGCAAAAGACAGGAAACATTTAGATTTCAGTGGAGTCAAAGTCTCCCTCCTCATTCATCGATTTGAATAATTTCTTATTTTGTAGTTCTGTTGAAAAATTTTAAAAATCAGGGAAAATTAATAGAGAGAACTTTTTAAAACACATATCTTGTTGCATGAAGAAATAATTAAGCTTGTGTTGATTTTTTTAGTTTAAAAATAATTTAAGAAAAAATTTAGTCATAACATGTTTAGTGAAAACAATCATGAAAGTTCTATTTACTTGAGTTAGAGAACCATGTAGCATATCATTTGTTTTTGCAAAATTCATGCTGTGCTTTTATAATTTAACAAGGCAATAAAAGATAAATGCTTTTCTTTCTCTAGATTCATTTAAAACCAGTCACACTTCTAACTGAACAAGATCATGTGGAACATAATCTGGCTGCTGAGAGAAGGAAAGTTCGATTACAACATGAAGATACCTTTAACAATTTAATGAAGGAAAGTAGCAAGTTTGATGGTCAGTAAATCCACTTATAAGAACTTTAATTCTATGACTGTGACAGGCAAAGGAGCCTTTTCTTAGAGCACACTTATTTTCACCTTATTATTACCATTCAATCCTGATGACACTAGGTATCTTTTCCAACAAACCTGGTGACTAGAGAAGGAAGGGCCTGGCCATTGAGAATGTAACTGCTGACACCTAACGCCTCTTTAAATTGGAAGATCTCCAGGAGAGGAGATGGGGAAAAAGAGTGACAGGGACCAGGCAGTCATTAGTAAGCATGTGTTCGCTAATGATGGCTGAATGAAGGGTTGATGACAATGCCGTACTTTGACACGGTGCTTCGTGGCTCACTAAGCAGTTTCTCATCCACAGTTTCATAGGAGCTGCATGTAATCTCAACAGAGCAGGAAGCTGCAACTCTGAGCAGGAAAGAAACTTGCTAAAGATCATATGGGATATGAGCGGAGGCTGTAAGATCCTGCTCCTGTTGCCTGGTGCTTTCCACAATCACTCTGTGTTTTATGAGCCACACTTCCTTCGTTCTCTGGCAGTGATTTCCTGGGCTCTTTGATGCCTCCTGGAGCCAGACTGGTGGGGAAAGGCAGAGCACCGCCCCTGCCCGTCCTCTGCCCTTTCTTTTTGTCTGACCCATCTTCTGAAGCCCCAGGGGATGCCAGTGGAGAGCACAATGAGGGAGGGGAGGAAGTGGAGTGAGCCTGCCCAGGCCCCACAGGCTGACTGCTGCCAGGAGGGCAGAAGGTTCAGCACCCCTTGGCTCCAAAGGAAGGCACAGGAAGAAGAGGAAGGAAAGCAGAGGACAAGAACATGTCAGAATAAGGATGTCAAAAGAGAAGGAGAAAGAGTGCATAGAAATGCCAGAGGAAAGAGAGAGGTAGCAGCCAGTGTAGTAGAAGTGCAGGGCCTTTATTCTGCCCCAGGTGATATCCTGGGACCACCCCACAGAAGACTTCGGGTTAAAAAAGAGATTTTTCAAAGGTTTCTACTCATTGCTGACCTTTCAAAGGGCAATACCCATTACCAACTTTGTTTGTTTTGATTTTTCTTTGAGACAGAGTTTCGCTCTTGTTGCCCAGGCTGGAGTGCAATGGTGCGAACTTGGCTTACTACAACTTCTGCCTCCCAGTTTCAAGCAATTTTCCTGCCTCAACCTCCCTAGTAGCTGGGATTACAGGTGCCTGCCACCATGCCCAGCTAATTTTGTATTTTTAGTAGAGACAGGGTTTCGCCACGTTGACCAGGCTGGTCTTGAACTCCTGACCTCAGGTGATCCGCCCGCCTCAGCCTCCCAAAGTGCTGGGATTATAGACATGAGCCACTGTGTCCAGCCCAGATCAAATTATTTTTAAGGAAATGAAGACTTCATCATTAAATGACGGTGTTAAGAGGAGTAAGTCTCTGTTTGTAAAGCTGGTCTCAGCACCAAAATACATTTCAAATGCATTTTGCTCAAGTAATGAAATAGCTGAACCGAGAGAACAACCCTGAGGCAGATGAGACAACCATTAATAAAAACCAAAACCTGCTGTCTCCTCATCCTTAAAATCCCAAGGAAGAATGAAATGACAGATAAAATACTTACTAATGAGCAAACCCGTACTATGCATGACAAGTAAATCTCTTAGGACATCTTAGGAAAACTCAAGCATTTTACACAGTTTTTAATAAGTATATGCAGTTTCCCTAGTTTCACTGGTCTTCCTTTCCACAGTTATGTCTTTTAAGAAAAGCTTTCTGTCCTCGTTGAAATTACACTACCTGAGTTCATAAGGAGAAAGTAGAAATAAGCCACTAAACAACCAGAAGTCTGACTGACAATGTCAAAATACAGTTGTTCTTTTTTTTCTTTTTTCTTTTTTTTTTTTTTTTTTTTTGAGATGGGGTCTCACTCTGTCACCCAGGCTGGAGTGCAGTGGCACAATCTCGGCTCACTGCAACCTCTGCCTTCCAGGTTCACACGATTCTCCTGCCTCAGCCTCCAGAGTAGCTGGGACTACAGGCATGCACCACCACGCCCAGCTAATTTTTGTGTTTTTAGTAGAGATGAGTTTTCACCACACTGGCCAGGCTGGTCTTGAGCTCCTGACTTCAGGTGATCCACCCGCCTTGGCTTCCCAAAGTGCTGGGATTACAGGTGTGAGTCACCGCACCCGGCAAGAAACAGTTCTTTTGAAATCTGTGCATGTTTATCCAGAGATTCTTACAAGAACTGCTTCCATCCTCTCCAAGTCATCCCTCATCTGAATCACATGTCTCAAGGTCATTCTCCACCCTTTTACCAGGAACTCTCTAGATCAAGCTGCTGCCCACCAGGAAGAGGGTGACCCTGTGACGCGTGAGGTGCTGGCCAGTCTGCCCCGGTGCCTGCTGGATGGAGTGTGTGTGTGTGCTTGTGGATAAAATCACTCATAGTCATTTAGGTGGAAGGACTCCTTCCCTCTCAGCAGAAAGGAAAGACTACCAACTGACTGGTAGTTCTTCCCAACAATTCTGTATGAAATGCCTGTCATGTGCCAGGAACCTGTTTGCCACTAGAGGTATAAAGATGAAAAATGCAGGGTCTTTGCTCCTGAGAAACTTGTAGTTTAGTGCTGGAGACAGACATATTTAATAGTTTCTAAGTAATATGGTAAGTGAACAGAGAGCTGTAGACTCTAAGTAATGTGGGAGCCCAGAGGAAGTGCTCTTGGGGCTTCACAAGAGACTTGCTGGACGAGGGGCTATGAGAAGAAAGTTGGGAAGGCGAGGAAGCACGTAGCAGTGAGGGTGAAGACGCGGAGATATGAACCAGGACGCTGTGTGCTGAGAAGCCACCAACGCAAGAGTATTGCTAGAGAGAAAATGCAAGGTAGAGGGAGGCAGGAGAGGAAGAAGGTCGGATTGTGTCACGGAGGCTCCCTGGGCCATGCTGAGAAGCTTGTCCTTTCTTTTGTTCTTGATGGGAGCCATTGAAAGATTTTGAGCAGGGTTGGGGCATGACCGGGTTTGCACTTAATATGGTCACTCTGGCTAGAGGGAGAGAGACCAGGGGAGAGATGAGGGGTGCCTAAACCGGGCAGTAATAGCGGGGAGAGATGGGAGGGAAAGAGTTTAAAAATATACGCGAGGTCACACCAACAAAATAGGGTCACTGATTGGCTGTGGGGAGAAGAGCGAGGAAGAAGGAGCATAGGCTGACTCCTGGGTGTCTGCTTGGAGCAGTTGGTTAGCAGTTGTGCCCTGAACTGAGATCATGGATCTGAGCGGCAGGGAAGGGCAACTTTTAGGAGGTAGATGATGAGTTCAGTTTTAGGTATATGGAGTCTGACGTGCCTGTGGACATCCAAAGGGAAGAGACCACAGCTGGCGAGACCCCATCTGAGAGACAGCCGCTTAAAGAAGTAGTTCAAATGAAGACAACCTGCAGCGCACAGGGTGCTGGGCCAAGAATGGAACCTGCGGAGCACAGGCATCTAAGAGAGGATCCAGGAAGACAAACCTACCAAGGAGACCTGGAGGGATTAATCAGAGGGCTGCAGGGAGAGCTGGAGAGAGCGGTGTCACATGCCAAGGAAGTAGAGTTACAAGAAGAAATAGTGGTCAACTGCGTTCCAGGAGGTGAGGAATAAAACCTGTCTGCTAGACTGGGAATCAGGAAGGCATTGGTGACGTCGGCAAGTGTGGAGTTAGAAGAAGTGTGGGAGACATTTGGATATCCTTAATTATTTAGAGGAATAATGGGATGAGGGACAGTTTACCATAACCTTTATGTCATATGCACAGGCCCAAGTAAACACTTCTATCACCAGCCTTGTTAGAAGCACGTGTACAAGGATGCGGGGGGTGGGGAGGGAAGTAGAACTGCGAGTCTTCTGGCCCCGACAGCCCGAGTGTCATCTGTTGCAGGACATGTGGACAGTGAGGGACACAGTGGCCATCGCAGCTCTTAGAGCCGCTTGGCTAGTTCAGAGCCTTTGCTTTTGTGGGAAACTGATGCATTGTGTCCCACAGCAGCACTAGCATGTAGCAGGACCTCACTTCCCTCAAGGTGTTTTCCTTCACTCTAGCCATCTGAGGTGGAGCTTGCTCCTCTCTGACCTCTGGACCCAGCCCCACAGGAAGCAGGAGGCTTCCATCGGCCCACTCACCCCAAACCATCCACCCTGGAGAGAGCCGCCTCCTTCCACCGGACTTACTCCTAAAGGCGAATTGCCAGGATCTGGGCCTATGCATTGCCTCATCTTTCTCTCATAGTCAGTGGTTGCCCCAGCACAAAGCTGCTCTTTTTATTTTCTTATCCAGTACTTTTCTTATCCAGGTCTGTAAGCAAGTCCTCTGACTTTGCAGAACCATCCTTCTGCTCTCTGTCTTCGTGAGCTCAATCATTTTGATTTTTAGATTCCACAAATAGGTGAGAACATGCGATGTTCGTCTTTCTGTGCCTTACTTCTTTTGCTTGACATAATGACCTCAGTTCCATCCATGTTGTTGCAAATGACAGGATCTCCTTCTGTGTTATGCTGAATAGTACTGTAACAGGTCTATAACCAAAACCTCTGACTTTGCTTTTCTCAGCTTGCTGAGGCGATGTAAATAATAAACAAAACGAGGGCCAGGCGCAGTGGCTCAAGCCTGTAATCCCAGCACTTTGGGAGGCCGAGACGGGTGGATCACGAGGTCAGGAGATCGAGTCCATCCTGGCTAACACGGTGAAACCCCGTCTCTACTAAAAAATACCAAAAAACTAGCCGGGCGAGGTGGCGGGCGCCTGTAGTCCCAGCTACTCAGGAGGCTGAGGCAGGAGAATGGCATGAACCCGGGAGGTGGAGCTTGCAGTGAGCTGAGATCCGGCCACTGCACTCCAGCCTGGGCGACACAGCAAGACTCTGTCTCAAAAAAAAAAAAAAAGAATAATAAACAAAACGAGAACTGTAAATGGGAATAATAAAGGTACTTACATAATGGGTTTATGGGAGCATTAAATGAGTTAATATAGAAAGTGTCAGGCATGC